GGAGTAGCCATATACATAAGCTCTTAATTGGAGGTGCACCAAGTTCACAACCTCGAGTTTAACAATCTCGAGGAATCCATATGGTGCTCTGTAAGACTGTCTAGTACTTCGAGGTGTCTAGTCGGTGTCAATTACAGGAAGCCAACTGCCGACACCGAGTACGATAGTCGTATGCTGGAAGGACTATCCCGCTCTACCCGTCTCGGTTTCACACACATCCTGATTCTAGGGTACTTTAATCTCCCTGGACTAGATACTTCTCCTGGCCTGGATATGGTTCATCCTGCCATACTGAGGGAGGCAGCCTCAATCCTGGCAACGCCGCTTAGCGTGATGTTTTCACACTCGCTAAGCCGAGGCAAATTACCGGAATATTAGAAGTTGACTCACATTACACCAATTTTCAAAGATGGTCGACACAATGAACCTTCAAGTTATCGGCCGGTGGCTCTTCTGTCATTATCTTCAAAAATCATTACTTAATTACGCCTGTTACTCCCAGTGGAGCATAGGCCGCCGACCAGCATTCTCCAACCCACTCTGTCCTGGGCCTTCTTTTCTACTTCCATCCAATTCTTGTTCATTTTTCTCATGTCTATTTCCGGCGTGTTGTGTTCTTTGGTCTTCCTCTTCTCCTCTTTCGCCTTGAGGATTCCATGTGAGGGCTTGCCTTGTGATGCAGTTGGGTGCTTTCCTCAATGTTTGTTCTATCTACTTCCGGCACTTCTCCCGCTGGAATCCGGTTTGTTCTCTCCCACAGTTGATTGTTGCTGATAGCGTCTGGCCAACGGATACGAAGTATTTTGCGTAGATAACTGTTAATAAACACTTGTATCTTCTGAATCATGGCTTTCGTAGTTCTCCAGGTTTCTGCCCCATACAGTAGAACTGTCTTGACATTTGTATTGAAAATTCTGACCTTGGTGTTGGTTGACAGATGTTTTGAGTTCCAGATATTCTTCAGTTGTAAATATTCTGCTCTTGCTTTGCCGATCCTCGCATTCACATATGCATCAGATCCACCGTGTTCATCGATGATGCTGCCCAGATATGTAAAGCTTTTCACATCTTTCAAAGCTTCTCCGTGAAGTGTGATTCTATTGATGCATGTTGTGTTGTATCGGAGAATCTTGCTTTTTCCATTGTGCATGTTGAGACCTATTTCTGCTACACCGGTTGTCTTCTCCGGCATTTGTTGTTGCGTGTGTGGCACAAGAGTCATGTCATCTGCGAAGTCTAGGTCACACAGCTGCGTCCTATCTGTCCACTGCATCCCATACTCCCCCCCGGATGTTGACGTTTTCATGATCCAGTCGATCGCCAGGAGGAAGATAAATGGTGAGTGTAAGCAACATTGCCTGACACCGGTCTTTACTTCGAACGAGTCTGTCAGCTGTCCTCCATGCACGATTTTGCAGTGTAATCCATCATATGAATTTTGTATGATATTGACTATCTTCTGAAGCACGCCGTAGTGTCGGAGAAGCCTCCATAGTGTTGTCCTGTCCACGCTGTCAAATGCTTTTTCGTAGTCAATGAAGTTGATGTAGAGTGATGAATTCCATTCAATTGATTGTTCCACAATGATCCGTAGAGTTGCGATTTGGTCTGTACATGATAGGTCCTAACGAAATCCAGCCTGCTGGTCAAGAAGTTGGGCGTCTACAGAGTCCTTCATTCTGCTTAACAATACCCAGTTGCAGACTTTACCTGGTATTGAGAGAAGAGTGGTGCCCCTGTAGTTATCACAGTTGCTGAGATCGCCTTTCTTTGATATCTTGATCAGGTGTTCTCCTTTCCAATCTGTCGGTACTTGTTCTTCATCCCAAATCTTGCTGAAGAGAATGTGGAGTATCCTTGCAGTTACTGCTACGTCTGCCTTTAGTGCCTCTGCTGGAATGTCTTCTGATCCTGCTGCTTTGCCGCTCTTGATTTGTCTGATGATCATGCTGATCTCTTCTATTGTTGGTGGGCCAACATCGATTGGGAGGTCGGTGGGTACTACTTCGATGTTGGTTTGGTGCAGTGAATCTGGTCGATTCAAGAGTTCTTTGAAGTGCTCTTCCCACCTGTTTCGCTGTTCTTCAACGTTGGCAATCGCTTTGCCTTCCTTGTTTTTCACTAGTCGTTCTGGTTTACAATAATTTCCAGGGAGTTTCTTTATTGCATCATACAATTGTCTTATGATTCCTTCTCTTGCAGCCTTTACCCCCGTCATTGCTAGATTTTCCACATATTTACGCTTGTCGGTTCTGATGCTACTCTTCGCCTGCTTGTTTACTTCTGTGTGTTCGGCTTGTGCCATGGATCTATCTGCTCTTGTTCGGCTGATATTGATTGCTGCCTTCTTGTTCCTCCTTTCTTGAATCATATCCAGTGTATCGACAGTGATCCATTCCTTGTGATGGTGCTTCTTGTGGTCCAGAACCTCATGACATGTTGAAGTGATTGTCTCCTTTATTCCTCTCCAGTTGTTCTCCATAGTAGTTCCCTCTCTATTGAGTAGATCATGAAAGGCCTGGAACCTATTGCTGAGGGTTATCTTGAATTCGTTTGGTTTGTCAGTACTTCGAAGAAAAGCCGTATTAAACTTTTGTGACGTTGTCCAGTGCTTATTGAGTTTCAATTTCATCATGGCGATCAGCAAGTGATGATGTGATTCTATATCATCTCCTCTCTTGGTTCTCACATCCTACAGCATCCTCTTGAACTTTTTGTTGATGCAAATATGGTCGATTTGGTTTTGCGTGGTGTGATCCCGTGAAGTCCATGTGGTTTTGTGAATGCGTTTGTGTGGGAATATGGTGCCGCCTATGACCAGTTTATTGAAGGCACATAGGTTTGCAAATCTCTCACCATTTTCGTTCCTTTCTCCCAGCCCTTGTCGTCCCATGATATCTTCATATCCAGTGTTGTCCGTTCCAACCTTGGCATTGAAGTCTCCCATCAGAATGGTCAGGTCCTTTGTTAGGCACTTCTCGATGATTGACTGCAGCCTATCGTAGAATTGGTCTTTAGCGTCTTCATTGTAATCGTTGGTAGGCGCATAGCATTGGATGATGTTCATTGAAATGCCCTCTTTCTTTGTTTTAAATGAGGCTTTGATGATCCTTGGTCCATGAGATTCCCATCCTGTGAGTGCATTTTGTGATTGTTTAGACAGCATCAGTGCAACTTCTTGTGTATATGGGGCATTTTCTTCTTCATGGCCGGAGTATAACAGAAGCTATCCTGAAGTTAGTTGTTGTGGTCCAACTTGCGTCCAATATGTTTCACTGATCCCAAGCACCTCTAGGTTGCATCTCCTCATTTCTGCAGCAATTTGGAGGGCTCTTCCGGTGTCCCACATTGTACGAACATTCCATGTATCTGAATAAACGGTCGCTCTGGTTGTCAGAAGGGGCATCGGTCTCGTGACTTCCGAAGGAAATCGGCTTTCATCATGAGGCGTCATAGTTCTTCTAAATGAAGACCTTCTGACTCCCAGGGCAGAGTTTAAAAGGTTTTAATAATTTTTTCTGGTTAGCGTTTTTTTAGTGAGTTATTTTTCTACGGGATGAGGACGCTAACCCCTTGCCCAACCCTCCTCCTTTACCCGAGTTTGGGACCGGCAGTATCCCCCTAAGGGACTCCAGGCGGAGTTTGAACGACTATCTACTGTCCTTAAATTTCTTCTCACCCCAACATCATGGTTTCAGGAAGGGTTACTCTTGTATAACCAACCTGCTGACTGCGGTGGACAGATGGACAAGCATCCTCGATATCAAGGGAATATTTGATTTCATTTACCTTGATTTCTCAAAAGCTTTTGATAAAATTAACCACTTGTGTCTTATCAATAAGCTCAAACGACTAGGTATCAAACCACCTCTAATCGATTGGCTCACTTCATACCTGAAAAATCGACACTTTAAGGTTAGGGTTAATTTCACTTTACCTCAGGCTATGGAATGTCCTAGTGGGGTCCCCCAGGGCTCAGTACTAGGGCCTCTTCTCTTCTTGATCTACATAAACGATATTCCTCAACAGGTAACGTCAGACTCATTACTTTTTGCCAACGACGTGAAACTTTGGAGAGAGATACGCAACCAAGACGATATACAGGCACTTCAGGAGGATCTGACTCGACTTCAAAGTTGGGCAGACGATAACGGATTTAGCTTTAACACTTCAAAGTGTAAAGTAGTCCATCTGCGACATGTCGCAAACTATAGTTACAACTTAGGAAACTCCTCTCTAGTAGTATCTCAAATCGAAAAAGGTTTAGGAGTCCTGGTGCCCCATGATTTAAAGTCTTACGCTAATTGTGACAAAAATGCCTTCCAAGCAAACCTTGCACTGGTAAAATTGAAGCGCATTTTTGGACAGTTTGACGGACGGACTTTCCATACGATCTTCATCCGTCCCCATTTAGAGTACGGAAATATAGTACTCCCCCCTCACTCCAAAAGAACAAGGTCACTTTGGAGCGTATTCAACGGCGAGCCACGAAATCAGTTCGACGACTCAAATCTAAACCTTACGAAGAACGCCTCCATTCACTAGACCTTTACCCATTAGGGTGTAGGCGTCTTAGAGATTATTTATTAATGGCTTACAGTATTCTTAACACTTCTGGACATCCTCTTAAACACCTACTCAAGCTTAGTTCGAATAATAACCTAAGGGGTAACACCCAGAAACTGGAAACTCAACATAGCAAGACGGGATGTAGACACAACTTCTACTCCTTAAGAGTTGTCAAAAGCTGGAATTCGCTGCCGGCCGAGCTAGTCCAAGCGACTTCTCAGGAGTCCTTCGAGAGGCAACTGGATCTATTCTTAAGGATTAAGGATAGTACCACACTATGATTTACCAATTTCTTTTCCTCTTTTATTGTTAATATACCTAGGTTCCTTCCTGGAGGATTTGGTGATTCCCAGCTTCTAGACACGGAAGCCTGTTAAGCGAAAGCTTCTTCTATTCCGTCCACAACCATTTGAACCATTTGAATCTGTATCCAGACCTTGAGGTTCGCGCTACATTCGGTTGTTAATTTTGGCGTGACAAGCGTGAAGAGTGTCTTTTCCGCAACATGGGTGACTGGGGTTAGTGAATAAAAGTGCCTCAATGTTTTCTATCTTTCAGACGATGAAGATGAGAGTGATTTTGTTGCCAAACAAGTGAAGGTTGATTGGGACGACGAGGAAGATAATGCTGTTCCTGTAAGTTTCTTCAGTATTACACTGGATATTAATTATTATGACTAATGTAGAATCAGGAACCAAGTTATTTGCAGTCAGCTGTAGCTCACCTTGTCAATCGTGACACTTCTAGATTCTTGTTGACAAGGTTTTCTCATCACATCGACTACTTAACTCCCTGGATGTTAGCCCGATGAAGGACATGTACTAATTTATGTTACAGGTTTGGAACGAACCATATCTAAGTGTGACGTGTCAGCCAGACCGTAATCATAGAAAACTTGCGACGTAGTAATATCAGTGGTCGTGGAAAACAATGTCACTTTGTGGAGTGTTCCAAAAGTTTAAATCACAGCGGTTAAATACCCACGGAGGTAAAAATATAACACAGTAGGCCCTCGTCTGGATAAGCGTCACCATCACTCACTTGTTCCTAGGTCCCGTTCGTCAATTTGAAATTGATCACATTTTTATGCTAGGCATCTTGTTGATGACGGCATCAGCCATACTGGCTTAATATATCTATGCATGTATGCACCTGGTTCGTTCAACATCGATTAACCATTATATATGTTGCATATTGTGTATGAAGTCGCTTCAAAAATTGAAGTACTCTATCAAAATTCTGTTTAAACGAATATCATTTCAGATATTAGTATCTAGCAGTAACAAACCCACTGTCAAGCAATTATGTCCAATGCAAGACTAAGTTTTGAGCTGATTGTTCAATCTGCGTTTCGACACTAAACTATGGAGACAGTTATTGGTCTGAGTTGCATTAGGGTTTTCAAATTTCCCGATTGGTTGGATTTTTAAGAAGTGGCCAGAGACCATAGCTAGCATAGGTTAATGTTGACTGCGGTAACTCGTTTCTTTTTCACTTTTTCATCCCCTATGCCTTGTATGTAGCGTCTATTTAGCTTCCTATTTCGCCCCTGTTGTCCATTGAGCTAATCTTTATTTTTGTTTTCCTGAATACCTAAAGTCTAACAAACACACTTTCTTACGAAATTTCGTGTTGTTTTAATTGCTGACTCAGTGGAATTCTCGCAAATTTAAGCTGCATTTTTCGCGTTATTGTTAGGATTCTTGGGATGCAGAACCATCTAAAGATTCAGAGACAACTAAAACAGTTGCTCCTGCTAAGTTATCGTTATCTGAGCGCCTGAAACTAAAAGAAGAACAGAAAAGAAAGGAAAGAGAAGAGAAATTGCGAAGGGAGGAGGAATTAAGACTTTCTCAACCTGTGACAGAATTACAGCGTGAAAAACTTGCCGAAGAAGCAGAACTCGGGTTGTTAAAAGATACATTTGGTTAGTGGAAATGTAAAATAAACATTCCTTTTTTATAGGTCCTTCTACTGTCCAGAGTAACGATAAAGAAACAATCGATTCATGTTGTCCAAAAACGAAGGAAGATTTCAATCACCTACACTCACTACTTGCGGCTAAGATCACAACTATACAGGCAAGTACTTTTGATCCCTAATAAACTAAAACAGAAATCCCCTCATTTCACAGCGTTTGCTGAGAGTTTGATTCGTGACCTTGTGATTGAAAGTAAGTCGAATTTCATTGTAGTCTAGTATGTCATTCTTTTGTTAAAGTGGAAGTTGATGCCCTCCGAACAGTAAATACTGTAATAAATGCGTTAATCAATGAGAAACAAAAGCTTGTTAAGGTACGTAACATTAAATATTTTACGTTTTGAATTTGGTTTCATTTTCGAAGTCACATGCTAGTATAAATAATTATATTATTGCTTGTTTGTAGAAAGAAACAGTGAAAAAATGCTTATTATACTTCTTGGATGGTAGAGATGGCTTACGTTTCGACTTGATATATTGCGATAATTATCTAAGTGTAAATCCACAGTCATCTCTATGGTCCTTGTTGATTATGGGATCCACGATGGCGGTTTTCTGAGAAATCACGTACTCAAGAACCATAACGACAAGAATGTTTGAAACTAATTCATATTAAGCAAATAACTTTAGTACTGACACCAATTCATAGTGCACTGATAATTATGTAGTGTCCAACTTGGACTTTTGGGATTTTTAGGCAACTAATGAATTACTCACTTATCAGGTCTGGATTCATATTCAGAGCTCTGCACCGCATGATGCAAGAGCTGCAAACTCTATTAAGCGGGATGATGTCTTAATCTGAAACCCAGTTTTCGAAGTAAATTCCTTAGTTTACTAAGGTACTGCTCACAAGAGATAAATAATCTTATATTTTCAAGAAATAATAGTTTGGTTTACTCCGTAGTTGGAAATTGAGTAGCACAACTGAAAAGTCAACAATTAGTCTGTGTACGGTAAGACAAAAATTATCTATATAAACCCCGGCACAAATTTGCCGTGACCCAAGTTGGCGTACCGCACCAGTCCCGATAATAGCGAAAAACCAATTAAGTGGCGAAAAAAATCGGAATAATGTGACAGCAATGATAAAAAAGAATAAACCTTGCAAACATAATCTAAAAATACAATGGAAGGGTTTGTGTGAAAATATGCTGAAATTCAAAATTGAAGAGAAGATGAAAGGTGAGTGCATCGGTGTGGTGTTTAAATAATTGCATATATCGAAAACTCAGTCTAAATATTGTGCTGCTTCAGTCGATGGTTTACTTCTTATGAATTTTATTTTTTTCAATCTTCTCGTTCCAATATGTTACTATGTTCGTGAATTTTTTTGTTCTTACGAAATTTTTTTAAAGAGCATGGAAGTTTCGCAAAAATGAGAGGGGAGATCGATTATGAATACAGTGATCTTGAATGCTGTTAGAGGTATAAGGGCGGTTATCACTTCCCGGTTGCCCACACTGTGGAAGGGTTTTTCTGGGGGTATCAGAAAAGGATATTGGGTTAGAGGTGGTCTTAGTGCCCTGAAAGCGTGACCGCAGTGCTCAAGGGAAAACTGCTTGAGGTCGGTCACACACGGCCTTTTTGTGAGTAATTTTCGTGCTAGCTCCGTATTTATTGGAAACTTACCGCCGGAGATGGAAATCCGTGGGATAAGTTGAAGTGTGCATTTTTAGGGTCGAACTTTTCTAACCCACTTCTTGTGGGAGGGCAGCATCGTTGTTATGCTGGTTGTCTGAAGGAAACACCTTACCTCCATCACACCTCTGTACAGTCAGTAGTACAACTTCACCCTAGGATCTTGGGTTTGCTGCTTTTATTCTTACCGCTCTTCAACTGACATGTCTGGCATGGTATGACCTTGAGGAACGATCGTTCCAGCCAGTATAGCTCGATTGGTTCATCACGATAGGCAAACCCGACCACCACGTCAAGGTAGTAGCAACAGTCGGGCTCGCAAAAATACATTCTTTACCCTCTTTCGAGTAGAATCATGGTACACACCTAATAATCGATTTGCTTTGTATGAAAAGTATAGCATTTCATCATAAATTTATGACATTGTAGTTTAACATAAAATGAAATATTGGAAATCCACTCAATCTATTTTGTAGGTACATCAAAATATGTTTAGTTTATTAACTTATATTATGTATAGGTTTAATATAACCTGTACTCACAGGTATAGGAATATATGTATATTCTTTGTAGTGCTATATATTGAGCAGAATATGAAACAGACATAGTACTCATACTTGTACTTATGTGTAAATAGCAAACTTTTATCTTTAAATGTCGTGTAATTATATATTTTTATTTAATTTAGTTGTCTTTTCTACCTGCCATTCTAGAGCAAAACAAAGAAGAAAACGAAAGGTAAATTATTAGTGGAAAGAGAAAATGATTATCAGTTTGGTGTTGATGATGCTCTCCCAGATGAGTATGATGATTTTATGTGAGAATGGGCAATTAAACATCATTGTTTTTTATGAAAAATTATTTCCCTCTCAATAACCATCTCTGTCATTGTTTTTTTTCACGCCTTGTTATTTCTTCAATAAAAATGGAACAACTATTTTTTTACACCAGTAGTGTGTAATCAAGGAATAGGTATGCTCTAACTGCTTGAATTGATATATGGTTTGTACATTGAGATTTGTGCATACTATAGTTCTGTACTGTTATCTAAATATGTACGATTTACTTTTCTTGTACATTCTCGCCCATGGTATCTTTTACATAGTCATATGTTTCTTTTTCTAAATTATGAAGCTCAGTATGGTGTTAATCGAAGACAATTTAGTAGTATGTAGGAACAGAAATTTTGATCTCCTACTCAGAATACTCTTCCTTTTCTTTTTCCTTAACACTCTATTTTAAATGTAGGTCCGGGTATTTTTACTTTATTTATTTAGATTTCGAATTCTGTAATTGCACTAAATTTTTGCTCTATGAATTTTACACATGAAAAGAAACATAACAACTAACGAAAACTAGAAAACGCTCACACATGTTAAAAAAATAAACGGAATACCGACCCATATTTCTTCTGCTTTCCAAGTAAAATCTTGAATATTCGTTTGGTTGCACTTTGTTATATTTATTTGGTGATTGTTAGATTTTAGGTAAAATAATATGTGAAAGTAAAACTGGTTAAAAAAAAACTAGCTTAGTTATTTTTCGAAAATATCGTGTAGCGAATACTTAGTACTTAATTGTTAGAAGCGGGGCTTGCAAGATATCTGACATGTTAATGGTCAGTATTAAATGTAGGTCTTATTAGCTTGGCTGCACAATAGACGGGAGTCATTTGTTTATAACTAATATCCGGACCAACTAACAGGAAAGTTACCCCATTTACTCAGAGATATTTTATTACAAATCCTGTTACGGAAAATTGTGACTCATTCATTTACATCCCGTACATATATAAAAAGATGATCGGGAGGAAACGTTTTAAAAGAATATAGGAAATATTTTTACGATATGGAAAGTAGGCTGAAACATTGTGTAACAGAAATGAATCAAGCTTACCAGTCAGCTCTTAATTTATTAATCAGTGAGTAACCTGCATCCTACACGAGTATGTTTCTTTCACTAAGGGGAGTATTTCATCTTTCTGACTAGCTGTCATTTGCTGTTGGTTCGTTCAAAAAAGATTTTGTTAATGGGTCAGTCTTGTGAACAGTCAGGCACATTGCATCACTGCACATCATTGAGCGGTCAGCATTCTACCAGGCTTAAGGTTGACTATTCCCAAACTCTCCTTCGTAACATATTTGCATAAGATCTGATCACAACATTGTCACTATGTTGCGACATTTAAAGTAGCTACTTGGAATTTTGGCGCTATCAAATAACAGAAGTCGCGCAACCTCTCATCCAGATAGATGTTAAGTTTCAATTATTATGGTACATGGTTCCATACGTATGACCAGTAATTCATCTTCTGAGTTACTACTGAGAGAAAAAGCTTAACGTGACTGCGATAAAACATCCTGGTAAGTATCACTGCCAGGAAAGTTTTACTCACTTGGTGAGACTTGTTAGAGTAAACCACCGTAAATTTCGTGACTCAATAAAGCACAGTACCAGGCGTCTAGTTGCACCAAATATTTTGATAGTCTCGTGTTGTACCATAAGTTCATACAGATACCTAATCCCTGTGAATCTAAGCTTTGCCTTGTTTATCGTTCATGTGATAGACTTCAGAAAGAAATATCCTTCGGTGGTAAATGATCACTCCAATGTCTTACGTTACTATTCAGTCAATTGGTCAACGAGGGAAGAGGACTAGAACAACATAAGGGAAATTGTATTTACAGTTTACCAAGAACATCTCAACTTATGGCTTTGCGACTGTTATATTTCCACTCCAACTTAGCACGTCAACCATGAAAAAAATTACTGATATCCCAGCACTTATGTGTGTAATGCTATCTAGGTAAATAAAGTACAACTGGATTATGGATAACTTATGTAAACTAAATGAGTCCATAATAGTAAACGTTTAACTGGACTACATTAGTTACTAGCTAATCATTTATGTTTATGCAGTGTATACAAAAAGTGACTAAAAGCAGTCAAAATTCCAACACTATATAGACCCATAATCTTTCGTTTGCAGTTTTTCTTAAATAAACAGATGAGTGCAGCCGTAAATTGTTGCTAAAACCTTACGGGTTTCCCCAGAGAATAATTTAGTGCACAACAGAGTGACAAAGGAATCTTGTGTGCCTCCATAGAATTGATAATTCAATACAACGTTCTTATATGTCCTATGAAACGAGGCAAGTAGAAGAAAACCAAATATGATTACTGTTGAAACCTGATTAAATAAATTTCTACAGAAAAGCAGATTTGTATGAATGATATGCATATGATTTAATTAAGCATTTCAATTCCTCAGAGAAAAGCTAGGTAAGTAATGAGAAATATCAACCTTCAATTATTGAGGAGGCCATATCACGATACTGATTCATATCTGAATGGTTAGGTATCTTATTATGACTTAAGTTAATTAGTGACAACACTCACATAGTATGTAGTCTATATCTGTTTAGGTTTACTAATGATTAATTCTTCTCAAAATACTTAACTTATACTCAATAAGAAATGCACTATTCTTAATGTATATAATAAGGATTATTCTAATTTAATATCTTATACTGACTATAATTATGCAACAACTGATAAGTTTCTAACGACATATCTCAATGATGATATTATTAATTTTAAAAAATGATTCGATTTAGTATTCGTCTGTTTCACAGGTAATCATTTAACTTTATAGAATTTTTCTAATAAATAATTCACTTAAATTATACTTTATTTTCGAGGAGACAATCAGTAAAACTGAGAAAAAAAACGTTCTCATTGACTAAATCGAAAACTATTCAGAAGAGAAAGAAAAGACAATTTTACTCTTTGAAAGTATTTATTATTAAGACTCGAGAATACAGGGGAATCATGATGTAGACGGATTTGAAAATGATATGATATAAAATTTAATTCAACGGTATACTGTTTTTTTAAATCTTATTACTTCTAATAATAATTAAATCTTGTTATTTTGTTCCATTTCAATAGTTGAATTTTGAACGAAGCGATTTCAGTGGTTCAGCTAAAAAAATTTAAGATTTACATATACGAAATATATCCAATTAAACTCATTGGAACAAATATTGTGTTAATAATACGGATGTGACCATTTATAAATTAATGTTTGTAAACACGAAGTGAAAATATTTAAACAATGCTTATGTAGTGAACAAGAACACGAGTGCGAACAATCGTATGCATTTGACACGAAATTACAGAGCATTTCACTAAAATCTGAGAACCATATAAAAAATCTTTAATTTGCAAAATATCAATCCATCATCTCAAACTTCACTGTTCCTTTTGCAAATATCAGTCCATTGTTTCAGATTTCACTGTTCATGCATTTTCATACCAATTGCGTTCCGTTTGCTTTCTTTCCTTATCGATTTTCTGCTGAAATACATTCTATGCCTAACCACCGTTATCCACTACTTATATGAATATCAGTAACCCACACCACACTTATAACTACTATTTAGAATTCAATAGTTTTTAAAGTATAATACATTTTGAAGGGTTCGGTTCAAGGTAAGATTGATTTCTTATTTTAGTTTGGCAGATACAAAACCATTCACGGGATCACATTACAATGAATTAAATCGACCATATCTGCATCAACAAAAAGTTCAAGAGGATGATGTAGGATGTGAGAACAAAGAGAGGAGATGATATAGCATCACATCATCACTTGCTGATCGCCATGATGAAATTGAAACTCAATAAGCACTGGACAACGTCACGAAAGTTTAATACGGCTTTTCTTCGAAGTACTGACAAACCAAACGAATTCAAGATAACCCTCAGCAATAGGTTCCAGGCCTTTCATGATCTACTCAATAGAGAGGGAACTACTATGGAGAACAACTGGAGAGGAATAAAGGAGACAATCACTTCAACATGTCATGAGGTTCTGGACCACAAGAAGCACCATCACAAGGAATGGATCACTGTCGATACACTGGATATGATTCAAGAAAGGAGGAACAAGAAGGCAGCAATCAATATCAGCCGAACAAGAGCAGATAAATCCATGGCACAAGCCGAACACACAGAAGTAAACAAGCAGGTGAAGAGTAGCATCAGAACCGAGAAGCGTAAATATGTGGAAAATCTAGCAATGACGGGGGTAAAGGCTGCAAGAGAAGGAATCATGAGACAATTGTATGATGCAATAAAGAAACTCCCTGGAAATTATTGTAAACCAGAACGACTAGTGAAAAACAAGGAAGGCAAAGTAATCGCCAACGTTGAAGAACAGCGAAACAGGTGGGAAGAACACTTCAAAGAACTCTTGAATCGATCAGATTCACTGCACCAAACCAACATCGAAGTAGTACCCACCGACCTCCCAATCGATGTTGGCCCACCAACAATAGAAGAGATCAGCATGATCATCAGACAAATCAAGAGCGGCAAAGCAGCAGGACCAGACAACATTCCAGCAAAGGCACTGAAAGCAGACGTAGCGGCAACTGCAAGGATAATCAACACATTCTCTTCAATAAGATTTGAGATGAGGAACAAGTACCAACAGACTGGAAAGAAGGACATCTGATCAAAATACCGAAGAAAGGCGATCTCAGCAAGTGTGAGGACTACAGAGGCATCACTCCTCTCAATACCAGGAAAAGTCTGCAACTGGGTATTGTTAAGCAGAATGAAGGACTCTGTAGACGCTCAGCTTCTTGACCAGCAGGCTGGATTTCGTTAGGACCTATCGTGTACAGACCAAATCGCAACTCTACGGATCATTGTGGAACAATCAATTGAATGGAATTCATCACTCTACATCAACTTCATTGACTACGAAAAAGCATTTGACAGCGTGGACAGGACAACACTGTGGAGGCTTTTACGACACTACGGCGTGCTTCAGAAGATAATCAATATCATACAGAATTCATATGATGGATTACACTGCAAAATCGTGCATGGAGGACAGCTGACAGACTCGTTCGACGTAAAGACTGGTGTCAGGCAATGTTGCTTACACTCACCACTTATCTTCCTCCTGGCGATCGACTGGATCATGAAAACGTCGACATCCGGGGGGAAGCATGGGATGCAGTGGACAGATAGGACGCAGCTGTGTGACCTAGACTTCGCAGATGACATGGCTCTTCTGCCACACCCGCAACAACAAATGCCGGAGAAGACAACCGGTGTAGCAGAAATAGGTCTCAACATGCACAATGGGAAAAGCAAGATTCTCCGATACAACACAACATGCATCAATAGAATCACACTTCACGGAGAAGCTTTGAAAGATGTGAAAAGCTTTACACATCTGGGCAGCATCATCGATGAACACGGTGGATCTGATGCATATGTGAATGCGAGGATCGGCAAAGCAAGAGCAGAATATTTACAACTGAAGAATATCTGGAACTCAAAACATCTGTCAACCAACACCAAGGTCAGAATTTTCAATACAAATGTCAAGACAGTTCTACTGTATGGGGCAGAAACCTGGAGAACTACGAAAGCCATGATTCAGAAGATACAAGTGTTTATTAACAGTTATCTACGCAAAATACTTCGTATCCGTTGGCC